AAGTTGAGGCCGAAGTGCCAGATGGGCACGCAGACGTGTCCTGTGCCCGCCTTTCAGTTCAGACTGACTGATCCTCTCGCACGGTTCAGCCAAGCTATTCCACCAATGTGCTAGCAGGGTTATACCATCGCTCCTCTCGGTGGCACTTATAATAGAGCTGGATGTGCTCAAACTGCTCTGGGACTGAATTCAAGCGGTTCATGTGAGGTAGCGTGTCTCGAAGTCTGGAGTAAAAAAAGCCTGTAGGGGGTTTATTTAGCATGCGAGCAGACAACACGCTGGCGGATCCTGGGGTGCCGGAGAGGAGGGAAGGGGTGCAAGCTCTCACGTGAGCCTCCTGCCCGGGATGCTTTGAGAGCCCAGGCTGATGAGAGCTCCTGCTGAAAGCCCATGTCTGTGCAAGCCCTAGCCGGACAGCCCTCGTCACGCAGAGCTCCTGTCGGCAATGTCCATTCCTCCCGCTTTTCAGCTATCGGGGGAGGTGGAGTTCTCGTGCAAGTGCTTGCATCAGATGAGTAATCAGGAGCCACGTTGCCAGCGTGAGGCAGACGGCCCTCTGTGTTTGTGCGCAGTGTCTTAGGAGGGAAAACGGGAGAACGGGTGAAAATCCACGTGCGAAACGAGTGCGTGAGGTTGAGATACTTGCTGGACGGAGGTGGTCTTCGGTGAAGCCTCTCAGGTGGTACGGGCACTCTGTGAGCTCTGTGACCACGGGTTCGAGCCGGGCCCGCGTCACCGGCCGTGACCTACAAATGATATTTTTTGTAACAAAATAAAATTGGTGATTCTAAATGTAATTTAAAAAAAAGTCTTTCCTCACTTATTCTGCGGATTTGAAAAAAGTTTTGTGTTTTAGTTGACCGAGCCTCAGTGGCTTGTGGATTTGTTTTGCTTTCTCAGAAAAGACCCAGTGATATTCCCTGAAGTGACTGTTCTGTGTTTTCACGCTAAATATCACACAGGCACTTCTGCGGTAAACTCTGGATTACTTTAGTTTGCATCTCTGCTTCCTTGTGTGCTTTCCCGTGCAGTGATGGTGCCTCTGTTTCCATGTCAAAGCTCTTGCATGACTCATAAATATGCAAAAGCTTGTGTGTGGAAGGAGCTCTTCAGGACTACATGCAGCACAGAGCTTGGCGACACCAGCTCTCATTATTTCTGCTGCAAGGCTTCTGCATTCATTCAGAAATAGTCTGATAAATCAGCATACAAAACCTATGAATTGTCCTTTTTAGGAGGTTTTTGTAAATCTAGAATGAATTACACCCCAAAATGTGATGTCTTACAATTCTCTGAAATACAAAGGCTTCTTTGGGTTATTTTTGACAGTAGAGTTGATCTTATGGTCTATTCATCCATTTTCTAAATGTTTCATCCAATTCAGGATTACAGGGGAGCTGGAGCCAATCCCAGCAAGCAACAGTACAAGGCAGGATACAACCTGGACAGGACACCAGTCTTTTTCGGGGCACACGCACACACTCACACCAGGGCCACTTTTCCCAGAAGCCAATTAACCTGCTGATATGTCTGTAGACTTTGGAGGAAACTGCAGCTTGTGTGTTTAGAAGAAAAATGAAAGACCAAGTGTGCTGAGTTAATGGATCCGGCACCTTGACATCCCTCAGTAATTCTGTTGGGACACCATTGCCTTTCCCATAGTCAGTGCCCTGTCAGCACCTGTGGAATATCTGTAAGGAGGAGGTTCTTTTTCTAATGTCTTTGGTACTCTGTCCAATAGTAAATTCTTACATTTTTCCTCCCGGTGACAGCTTAGTCAGCTCCAAAGAGAACAAACCACAAGTTGCATCTTGAACTGAAAGATTTTCAGATGGTACAAGACCACTGCTTAGGAAAGAAACACTGTAGAGCTTCTGAAACTAAACTCCGTCGCTCAGTGGTTAAAGAACAGAAAAGCCCGGACAGAAGGTGGAGAAAAGACAGAGGGATCAGGCGGAGATGTATTAAGGAATGAAATGGAGAGCTATCACCTCATACCACACCAGGAGCCTGAAACAGTGTGCCTAGGCCAGTCACATTGTTGAAGCTGTCTGTCACAGAGCTGGTCAGAAACAGCTCGATGAGATTCTGGCATCGATTAGCTGCTTCCGACCTATTGATTAGCACGCCCCAGTCTTGATCCCGCGATCAGAGTCTCAGGCAGGAATGCGTCACATCGCTTAAGAGACCCAGTTTGTGAAGGCTGGAGCAGAAGGACGTGGGGCATCTCGTCCCCTGAAACTTCGATAAGAGCCCATGTGGTCAAACGCCCCCCCCCACCCTTCCGCCTCTGTGGCCAAATCCCATGGATTTCCAGTGGCAGGGAAACAACAGGCCGAGCGCTGGAGTGGTGGTTTTCCCCTCAGGCATCTCGTCAGGAAGCCTGATAACCAGCAGTGGGCGAATGGAAACATGTTCAGACCACTAATCAACATACTGCTGCTTTTCCATCAGATAACCTTTGCGTTTGTTGATGTACCTGGGGCCGGTGGAGGGGGCAGTCTGGGCAGTCCTGCACAGCTGGGCTGCAGGTCGCCTGAGAGGCGCAGTCTGGGGGTGCTGCCAGTGACGCCAGTCCCTTGATGGCGAGTGATGAATAATTTACCTTGACATGTTTACAGGAAATCAGCGGGGGCTCGTTCTGGTAACTGCTTTCGGCTTCCTGCACGCGGAGACGCACGGCTGCAGCTCGAGAAGATGAATAAATGCTTTAAAATAAATCGGCTTTTTTTCCCCCAGCGCCACTGTACCCCGAGTACATCCAGGGAACCCACGCTTTCCTGTCGCCTGCTGGTCTTTTTCTGGAATCGGGGAGAAAATAGTTCCTGACTAATAACTACGCTTTTCATTTTGCTGTGATTCATGGGCCAAGAGGAAGCTGCATAAAGCTTCCCCAGTTCCCCCCCCGGTGCAGAACTGTGTCACAAGGGGCTAACCAGGTGGCATTTGGCCCTTTTTATGCTTTGTGGATTGTGGGAGGGCAGTGGAGTTGTCAGGAATGACCGCGCTCAGGGGGAGTCGGATGGCGCTGGGTGTGACAGAGCAGCACACAGGCCCTCAAACAAGAGGGATGTCAAGGCAGGACCACGCAGAAGAGCCGCCTCCCGCAGGGCTGTGTCAGAGCAGAGTTCGCGCCGTCACGCTGACCTGCTGCGCTCCTTGGATTGGCTCATGTTGGTTTTTGTGCAGTTGAACGTTCCCTGGAGCTGGGAGAGTGGCAGGTTTCTCCCCGTTTAGAGTCAGCAGTGGCTTGCAAGTCTCCCGCTCTGGTGTTGAGGCAGTCACCTCAGGGCGGTGCGCATGACGTCAGCTGGAATCTATTTTCATTAGGTTGGTTATTGACATGCGTCTTGGCTCACACCCCATCCAGTCGAGGACTCCCGCAGCATAATCTAGGTTCTTTGAGGGAAACAACCCTTGCCTTCAATTGCAACAGAGCTGGCCTAGGTCCAGGATTCCAGGGAAGAGCAGCCATTAGAGTCCTTTCAGCTTTGGAGACTCACGCCAGCGTTTCCTTGGTTACTGCAGTTACAGCTCTTTCATGCTCTTTCACTTATTCACCATGCACAGAAAGGCCGGGCTCCTGTCCCGAGGGGCCGGAGAGATTCGTCACAGGCTGGGCGCTCACCTGGGGGGCTATGATGGAGACATAGTCACGGACAGAGCGATTCATCTCTGTGCTGCACTGGGTACTCCGCCCAGCAGCCTTCCCCGTGCCCCAGCTGTGCGTCAGAGCGAGTGTAGTATTTCATTCTTCAGTCGCCTTTAGACTTCCCTGTGGTGGTCACAGGCCGTGGACTGTTAGTCCACGCGGCTTTATCCTGCCTTAATTCAGATTTCACATGCCTGTCCTGTCAAAATGCTCTTCCAGTTTAGTAGTCACATGCTGAGCCTGACTTTTCCTACTCCTGAAAACCAATAGATTTCTTTTGCACTCGATTGATATTAAACTCTTGAACAAATTTATAGTTCCAGAAAAGGTTCAAGTAGGGAGCTGCGTCAGCATGCGCAGGCTGCTTACAGGTATGACGCTTATATACAGGGTATATCTTACAGGTATGACGCTTCTGAATGTTGGGATTGTGGTGGTCTGTAAGCCCGGCTGTGTGGGATCTTACTCTCTACCCCAGCGCTTGGAAATGTAGAGTTTCATTAGAACGGAAACTTCACATTAGATATTATTTTTACATACTTAATTTGCATTTGACTTTTTGTTACTGTAGCTAGCTGGAAAAATGTTCTCAAGTTATACATTTGTAAATGCAGTATTTCATTTAGAGTGTTGGGATTTGATGTCATACTAAAAGTATTCAGTGTCTAATAAGCTGGCAAATGTCATTTGCATGTAATGAGAGCAGAGAGGAGACAGTAGTGTAATAGGAAATTTTTGACAAAGTCTCCAGGGTTATATTTTCCATAGGGCGAGGGCAGACTATCCTGGATAGGCACTTCAGGTTTTAATGCAAACTGTATTATCATATCTTCTATCCAGCAGCTGGAAGACTGATTATCTTGCCTGTGTGTTGATTCATACTTATCCGTCTTGTAGAAGATGTGTGTCACAAAGACTGGCACTCTGGGTCCTGCAGTGTCGTTCTGGAGATTTCAGGTATAATCCCAGGTTGGGGGGGATGTCCTGGTGAAAGGAGCTCAGTCTCCTCAGTCCTGAACACAGAGGACTGTCCAGACTCTCTTTTCCAGTGTCCACAATCCTCACAAGTATTAATAAAGTCGACACAGTCGGCTCCTCCAGGGGTCAGCAGTGAAACAGACCAGAGAACACGAGTGAAAAATACGGGAAGGGCTTTTAAGGCTTCGTACAGGACAGGCTTCTTTACACAAAGGGTAGTGGGAGTCCGAAACAAGCTCCCCGGACATGTGATTGAAGGACTGACGAGTTGCATGCTCCTGTTGATCCGACACGCCCACATCAGCTGTTTGGGTGGACTGGCCTCTTCCCGTTTGTCACCTGCTGTTCTGTGTCCATTCCTGTGTTTCAGCAGCGGAAGACCTACCTGGAGCGCAGCGTGAAGGAGGCAGAAGACAACATCCGGGAGATGCTGATGGCCAGGAGGTCCCAGTGAAGACGGAGGGGTGGAGCACACAGGACCTGTTCTGTGTTTCTCCCCCGATACAGCTCGGGCACTCCTGTCATTTTACATATTTAAATAGCAGTCACTGTACGTGAGTGTTGGAAGGTGTGTGGGGGGCAGTTCAGATCAGTCAGCTGCCTGTGTGCGTCCCAGTAGTTTGGTTAGCTTTTTCATCAGGTGAAATCGGAAGTCCTCGTTTTGTGTCCGTGCTGTTTTCCAGCCGGTAATGCTCTGCATACACTGTGGTGTCAGTGTTTACTGAGACCAGTCGTGTTAAATCTGAAGACGATCCCAAAGTTTCTGTTTAAGCCCATTAGAAAGTGCTCCTTGATGTGTCTGAATGATGTCAGTCGGAGGTCTGGATACATCCAGACTGCTCTCTGGCTACTTTGGTTACTGCTTTTTTTTGTTCCACCAGACATTTAGCACCAAAATAATAAAATTAATAATAAAAAGTCTTCAACTTGTTCCTTGAGACAGCTGTTTTTTTTTAAACAAATACCCCTGTCTGAAGAAGTGTAGCTGTCAACACTGCAGCGTCTGTAGTCTCCTGGACTGCCTGCTTCCCGAGTACCCTGTCTGGACGTGGCCCCCTGACAAAGTGCTTCCACACGTCCTCTCCCAGCCCTTCCCAGAGACAGCTCTCCGCTCTGCTGCCCGAGCGCCTGACTCACACTTGTCTTCAGAGGAGCGTGCTGTCTCGGTACTGCCGGGCCGCGACCCGCCTGCGCGCACGGCGCCAGACGGCCACCCCAGAAACACCCCTGACCCCTGCGCTGGCTGTGGGGTCACGCTGGGCCTCTCGGTTTCACTGCAGTGCTTCTGGAGCAGCCCGTCAGCGTCACTACTCTGTTTACCCAGAATGGGTTGACATGATTATTATTATAACAGAGGCATATGTTTTAAGCCTGCTGTAGTCAAAATAATGTTAAGGGACAAGCAATTTAAGTTTTTTCAAAACACCTTTTTTCCGTTTCAGCTTCTGACGCTGCTGAACTCAGCTGTGCGGTATTTCAAGGAGACAGAGTAGTTTAATGACAAGAACACACAGTGCTTAAGACCTTGGGCTTATATTCTGTGACCCAGGGAGAATAAGTTATTGGGGGTCAACTGTGCCAAGGTTCTTCTTTAATGAGGAGGAGAAAATCGTGATTTAAAATTGTGTTCTCTCCAATTTTAAATCATGAGGTGTTATCCAGTGTGCAGCTCTTTACTGAAACCCTAAACTGCTATTGGAAGCTTAAACTTAAATCATAGTTAAATCCACAACCAACTTGATACAAAATACCTTGAAGAAACCCATTTGTAGCACCTCTGCCAGCCAGGGCTTGTACAGTCCACATCACTAGTCCTGCCCAGTTGTGCCATGTGATCAAGAACCTGGTCTGGAAGATGCTGGACCCGAGGACAGCCCTGCTTCGATTCTTCTGCATTCCAGTTTAGCATGGAATTTAAAGGCGTGGGTCACTGGTACATCCCTCCATCCACTTTCCAATCCACTCATCCGATACGAGGCCTCTGGGAGAGCCGGAGCCTAACCTGGCAAAGTACGGGCGCGAGGCAGGATATACCCTGGACAGGACGCCAGTCCATCGCAGCTGCTGCTGGAGCACAAAAGCCATAATTGGACAGGTAATGGGGGCTGATAATCCTGATGGCAGTGTAAGTGGTGCACAGAAAGAAAATTCCACACCATCGCAACCTCATTATGAGTTTTGATGGTGTCAGCTGAGTCTGGCTGAATAGAGAACGGTTTGCCTGGTCAGTGATGCAGTGATGCTTTTTCCTGCATGCAGACCTGTATGTGTGTGCGGTTGTGAGTCCAGTAGGACGAGTAGCACAGAGGACTGGCGGAGGTGGGGGGAAGTGATATTTGGGCGAGTTAGTCACTGCACACCAAATGTCCGGTGTACCTCCTGGAGGACAGTAGTGTTGTTTGTTGACCTCGTGATGTCTTGAGGGGACAACGTACATGGGGAGGTTCCTCTCTCCTGTGTAAGCATGTCTCTTTCCCTCTAGTAGTTGCCTTTTTCTGTAACATTCTCTGTGCCCTTTTAACTAAAGAAAGATTGACGTTGATAAGGAGAGGCGTTTGGAGGTTATGGGAGACCGAATTTTGCTGTAACATGCAAGTCTTATTCCAGAGGAGGAGACACTTGGAATAGACGCTGAGGTGCATTAATAATGCAACAGTTATGTATTGGTGTCAAAACTCGGTTTAGTGGTCAAAATTAAGGGGACACTGCAGTACAACAGAAAAACACAAAAAGGGAGGATCAGTGCAAACAATTTATATAGAAAATTATTGGCCTTTCTCAAAAGGAAATGTGACAGAGGGCATGCATTGTTTCACCCATATATTGCTCTGTGTGCTGGGGCATCTGAGCTTCCTCTCCTGCATGGTGGCAGTGTCCATTCGGCCAGGAGTCCTACTAACTAACTAACGTTTACTAATGTATTTGGGTTTCTGTTAAGAATGTGCTGACCTAGAGAATGGAATTTGTGTCACTTCCTGATGTTTACTGTGTGGGACTGAGACCTCACTGTCTGGAAATCTGCTGTGTCCTGTATTTCGAATGACTGGACTGTTAACTAACTTAACTGCACTGCCCAAGACCCAGAGACGGTTCTTCCTGTGAAGCTTTAGAGCCTGTAAGAGTTTAAGAGTTACATCTGGTGGACCCAGACGAAGCTTCCAAGTGTGATATTCAGCAGGAAAGTAGTTTTCTTCCCATATCACACAAGCCCACACAGTTTCGATGTCTGTTGTCAGATTCTCAGACCTGTCACAGTGGAATTCTTTCATTTGTGCGATCTGCACCCAAAACTGACTGACAGCTTTCCCATTCACACCCAGACTCGCCGTATTTCTGGGCAAATATTTAGAGAAAGGAAGTATCCACAGCAGTGTGGAGCAGACGGTATTACTCTGGCCTGGTAACTAGGAGGACCACTGCTGTTGTAACCTGCTCAGATCCTGTCAGAACGCCGCTGTGTGTATTTCAGGTAGTCTGCTCCCACAGAGATGTTACTTTATTTTAGGATTTGTACCAGAAGCAGTCCTCGCTTCTTTATGTGCTTCTGAATATCCATAGGTGTAGGTATATAAAAATAATAAAGCAACTTTCTCAACACGGGGATGCTATACATGGTGATAAAGTAAAAGACAAAAATACAATCAAAGGTAAATGAAAAACATTACACAAGAAAACAGAAAAAAAGTAGGGCCTCAGTCAATCAAACACAAGCCCTCATAAAAAAAAAAGTGAGTTTTAAGTTTGGGCTCTGGGAGGGTGAAATAACTTGTCTCTCGAAGAGTTGGAGAAAGAGCATTTCAAAACGCTGGAAGTACGACAGAGAGGGCACAGTCGCCAGGAGTCTGAGAGTTAGTCCTGCGTACAGTGAGCAGAGCCGACAGGAGGGAGCGTGAACATGGAGGGGCTCCGAGGTGTGTGATGGAGCCAGATTGTTCAGAGGCTTGAAAGTAGGCAACATAATCTTGTATTGAACATGTGACTTTAAAGACAGAAAATGAAGAGATATAAGAGTAGGAGTAAGATGTTACAGAGTTTTGCACATTATTGCATCTTACTGAGAAGAGTGTTGGGGAGCCCACAGAGTAAAAAGGTGCACAAATCAAGCATCGATGTTATGAATGTGTGAATTATCTACAGTACCTATACTGTAGGAATGTCATGAAAATACATCGTGTGTAGATCACTTAGTTACTTAACCTCCTTCGGTGTTTAGGAACTGAAAACACAGAACCTACCTGAAACCTGGTGAGATTCTCGAGTTGAGCGCTCAGGTGGACCAAGCGCCAGCAGGTGTGGGAGTCCCCTGGTTGAGAGGGTTGTTGTAAAATAACTGGCTGTGATCTGCACAGTCTGGATAGTCGCAGGGTATAATGCACATAGACTAAAGAAATAAGTTTGCAATGAGCTGCTTCCATGCCGGGCGAAGCAGACACAAGCCTCAGGTATCCCAGAGGAGGTGGAAGAGCTGGTCATTGGTGGGTATTTGGCTCCCCCATGTGTTTGATATGTGTATTAAACTTTATTCCTGTTCATGCACTGCAAAGCTATAGGGCAGCTCAGTCTGCACGCCGTCCTGGGTCCTGGTAAGGTTACAGACCGGGCTCCCTTCTGTGCAGAGTTTGCATGTTGTCCCTGCATCTGCACGGGTGGAATCAGGGTGTTCTGGTTTTCTCCCTCCCCTGGGTGCGCTTGCTAGTTGATTGTGACCCTGGTGTGTGTGTGTCTGCCCTGTGATGGTCTGGCGTCTCGGCCAGGGTGCCTCTGCTGTGAACTCCGCCAGAGCTGCACACAGCAGCAGCAGTGAAACCCAGGGGCGTCTATAGCTGGAGTCTGTGCCAGTCCTGATCCTGGTGATCAGTAGCCTCTCCTCTGCTGTAGTCCTGATCAAGCTGGTCATACGGCATGTGCAGCCGGAGCAGTTTCCAGAAAACTCCACAGTGGAACAGATGAACCAGGACAGAAGTATCTGACGCGGAGAGAAAAGAAGGTGAGCTTGTTATTTTGGTATTCCAAAACTACTTCAGACTTTCTGTATTAAGTATAGAAACATGAGCCTTTACTATGGTACAGCCTTATTACTATGGTGCCGGTGCCCGAGCCAGCCCAGCTTGAAGATGTGCTGCAGGAAGGTTCTGGACTGTTTCGAACTGTGGGAGTCAGCTCCCTTTGTCCTGGGATCCATGAAGCCCTGGAATCCGGGGTTTACCGACACCTTCGCGTGAAAGAGCTGTCAGTAAGCAGTTTCTTAACCCACGGTATCATCATTGAGGTTATTGTTTCACCCTCTGATTAGAGATGTGGGTAAAGTCCCTCAGCTCGCGGAGATGATTAACTGGCTTAGTCTTTTCTTTCCTGAAGTGGAAATGCTCTCTTTGCTCAGTGTCACTTTCCACCACACAGCTGTAACCTCAGCTCTCTCCTTCCCAGCACTACCCAGCCGCGGACAGAATGGAGAACCGGGGCGCGGACGAGGATCCCAAGGTAACTGATATGCCCAATCCGTGAACGTAGCAGGAGCAGATTCGACCTGGGTCTCTTTCCACGTGTGCCGAGAATCAATACAGGGAAACTGATCGACCAGCAGCAGAATCTTTCTGTTTTGCCTTGGGTGTGCAGTTTCCAGCTTGTGCAACATCTCAGCACCATGAGTTTCAGGACAGGAAAGTCTGCACGTGCAGCTGTGACTGCTTGACATTTGCTAACAGCATTTTTTTAGGTTAGTGGGACCAAAATTTATATAAAACCTCTTTTATATAATACCTTCCTGCCTTAAAGGGTGTTTCTTTATTTTAGGCTGATACATTGAACTGTAAAAATAATAGAGCATGGTACAAACAACATATGAGATTCTAACTAATGTTTTGTATAGGTGTATTTATTGGAGCATAGCTTCCATCACATCTGATATCACAATGAAACATTCAGTTGAAGATGAGGGTTCACACAAAGAGACTTTGAAAGAAGGGCTGTTTAAAGTGGTAGGGAGTGGATTGACTGTTTAATTAAGCTGCTCCCAACCCATTGCTCAATAGCTGGCAGACCTCCTGGCCTAAAAGCATCAGGATCACCAGGCTGGAGCTGTGCTGAGTCCCTCTCACGTGGAGCTCTTATCAGGGCAGAGTTACACATGTAGCTGTTTTTACTGCAAGTCTCCTCCTCTGATCACTCTTCCTGGGGCCGTCTGGCCCCAGGTGCTGGTCCCTGCCTTGGCTATCAGCCCCTGCTTCTCTCCTCCCTCTGCCCTGATGGGAGAGGCTGAGTGAGCACGACTCCTCTCTTGGCCTTCTCTGGCCTGCCTGGACACACGTTGCTCCAGATCCCTTTATCTGGTCCTCCCAAGACAGTCCGGGGGTCGTGCAAGTGCTCAGAGAGCCTGTGGGGATGGAAAGAGCTGTGGAAATGCAAGGAAATCCGATGAGTTATTAGTGATTAATCACACATGTGTGAAGACTGTACGGCATGACCTTGCAATCCACCCAGAACAGATTCCCGGATGTTGACGCAGAGTAGGGAACGTCTGAGATTATAGACACTCGACACTTTCCAGTGATCTCACCTGTGGCTGCACCTTGCCGCCAGGCTGCCCTACATCTCTGGTCTCTGGTGCAGCTAATTCAAGCGGTGACTGAAGGGAAGCAGTGCCCTCTCACGCCGGTGTGCCATTCCTCTCCAGGGAGACGTGCCTGTGCAGAACGAGAAGCACCAGCAGCCTCGGGCGGGCCAGGGCTTTGACATGATCTACAGGATCGAGGATGTGCCCCCCTGGTACCTCTGCATCTTCCTGGGACTGCAGGTGGAACACGCCGTCTGCCTGGATGGGTGGAGGGACAGACAGACTAGTCTCACAGGCAGGCGATTAGACAGACAGAGAGAGAGAGAGGAGTTTATTTGCCATACGGACATGTGCTTTGGGACTTGGATTCACACTTTCCTCTCTGGATAGACGACACTTTCACACAATGTGCACAGCACATGAGAAAGCAGTAAATGATAATAACACATTATGACAGTACAGCAAAC